AATACCGTAATACCGGTATTATTTGCATCAATACCGGTATTGAATACCGGACAAAAATCGTCCGGGATTCCGGTATTCGGGATTACGGAATCCCGGTATTGTAAGCCCTAGGCTCATTGTTATTAACGGAAATAAATCTTGCTACATAGCACTTTTCTTAAATGAACGAAGATGTCCAGAAGTCTACTATAACGGCCAGAAAATTCGGCTAGCAAAAAATGTTAAATATCTTGGAATCTACATAGGCCAAAAACTGACATGGAAAACCCATATATTAACCAAAACAAAACAAATTAGGTTAAGGACCTAAATTGGCTATACTTGATAATAAAATATCGATATATAAATCTATATAAAGCTCATTTGAATCTATGGTATCTATATAAAGCTCATTTGAATCTTTGGGATGGCACCAGCATGTTTAATATTGTTTTAATATATTCAATCCAAAATCTTAGGCAGATCACCGACCCTGGTATGTCAGTGATAAAAGTATCTACGACGACCTCAATAAGTCTATTTTTTTTAAGATATAATTAGCAGCAGAAGTTTTAACCATCATTCCAAACTAGAAAACCACGGACCCTCGAAATTAAGATAGCATTTTTACATCGATTTTTTAAGAATCGAATCAGTAGTTGTTCTGTTGGCCACGAGCCACAGATGGTATAGTTACGCCACTGATTTGTTGTCACATCAAGTTGTACATTTAGTTATTCTGTATTTCATAATGTACTTTGAAATTTTAAAGAATTCAAATGAATCAGCAACGGATTGTCTTTTTCAACTATGATAAACACCTTTCAATAAAATTATCTTAAGGTATAAGAGATGTGGTTAGAGTCAGTGAGTAGAAAAGCGTTAAAACCGGTATAGGGCTATACAATTTTCTGCATCCGGTATCAAAAGAGATAAGTAATAAAAAATTAGATGACCCGTTTTGTGGTTACATATATGTTACATGTCTTGAGCTAGAGTTGTTAGACGTAGTAATGGTTAGAAATAAAAAAATGCTTCTAATATCTTATGATTTAATTCATTACAAGAACATGCTTCTAATTTATGAAATTTAATAAATATATCACACATAGAATATGATTTCTAAATAACATGTAATAGTTTACATATAGTTAAGGCGACAATACTACCGATTTACACTTTGCGTGCCGGATTCAGGTCTTTTGCCTTAGATTATCCTGAGGTGTTAAAAAGTATAGATTAAAATTGAATATTTTCTATTACTTATTAATAAAATTACAATAGCCCATAAATATCTGAAAATGATATATACAAATATGTTAATGCGAAACTATAAGTAACGAAAGGGAAAATTGCCGGTTGCAACAATCCAAAGGTGAAAAATACCCTCCCACTATAATAATTTCGATTTTTTCTTCCAATTTTACGAAAATTACTTAAAAAAATAATACGATGACAAACTTTCTGATTGCTTAGCATTCTACAAACAATACTCTTTATTAAAGTTTAATTTTGAAGAAAATTGTATAGAATTTTATACAACTCTTAAAATAAGGTGACCATATTATATAAAGTCAAAACCGTGACAGTAAATTTTAGTTATGCTAATCTGTGATGGATAATGGGGTTGTATGGCAAAATACTTAAATATGATTTTGAAATAACAAATAAAATTTAAGGATGCAATAAAATCTTCAATAAAATCTTGAATCAGAAATACTGTCTTTTAGTAACAACTTCATTATTCGATTATATTTTCTATCTTTTATTTTCAGATCTATATGTTTTTTCGTTCTTAACCTTTGTATAAAATACTGTTCAATTTTCTTCATCATTATCTCGAAAGCAGAAACTTACGCTAGGCCGTCAAAAAGTTCGTTTTCACTATTTTGAACGCAAATAGTTTACATTTTTGTAAAATTTAATGATCAAAGTTCGAAATAATTAATGTGAGAAGCTAATTTGACCCCACTCTGGAATTTTGTATCCGGAAATATTCTTATTCATAATGTATTGTTTCATATATGTAAGCATGCTTGTTGTATATAACATTTTCAGCTATTTGATAAGTAGTTGTAATTTTATTATTAAATAATTGCAAAGATTTAATTTGAACCTATACTTTTCAAAATTCCGGGACAATTCGGGGCTAAAGATCCGGGACAAATATTGCTTTAAATAAAAATCGGGATTGTCCCAGCTAAACCGGGACTTATGATCACCTTAATTAAAAGTGAAAAAACTAATAAAAAATTACAAAGCTTTATACTGTAATTGTAAGAAATTCTGATTTAAAATGTTAATTGTCAGAAATTCTGTTTAAAATTTAAGTTTAGCATAAATAACATATATAAAAGATTAGTATATCAGTCATATTTACAAAATAGAGTTGTATTTATTTTATTAAATATAAATTACAACAATTTTAGTTTACTTTTTAATAATTGTATGAATACCTGTATAAAATCTTTTTGGCTAAAACATCATTATTACTTCATCCTTTATTAAGCATTGCAAATAATAAATAATGAAATAATAACAATTAATACATAGTTAATTCTAATCTTTCAAAGTGTTCTCACTTATGTGATCAAAATTATATTTTATTTCAGTTTATTTAAAAATACCAAATGCCTTACCAAACTAGTGGTGCATGGCACCGTGCCTTAACGCAAATTGCTGAAACTTACCAAAAATTAATTTTTTTATAAAAGATTCAATTTTTTTAGAACCCTGAAAAAAATCGATTTTTGAGATTTTTAAAATTTTTGAAAACGATTGACTTTTTTGAAAAATTTGTTTTTTTATCATTTGAAATATTTTAGAAATTTTGAACTATTTTTGAAAGCAATCGCACTTTAGCTGCATAGAGACGAACTATCGAAGCGCGTAAGCACCGCATCGCCGTGTTACGCACAAACTATGTTATGGATCCCATAAAAATGTAAACAAAATTGATACACATTATTAAAATCTTCATAAAGTATCTGATAATTTGATGTGCATATATCTAATGATCATTTTTGACCGCCAAATGACATTTTGTTTTTAACTTCCCGTAGGGTAAGTTATAGTAATCGCAAAAAAATCGAAAATGAAAATTTTTATATATCTTTACGTTTCAGAGGTTTCTGAACATTTTGGCATACCTTAGAAAAAATGGATGTATGTGTGTGTGTGTGTGTGTGTGTGTGTGTGTATGTATGTATGTATGTATGTATGTATGTATGTATGTATGTATGTATGTATGTATGTATGTATGTACGTGTGTGTATGTATGTGCGGATACAAATTTTCGTCGACGATTTCGGGAACACGGATCAACCGATTTGAATAATTCAAAAAACAATCGATTCGTATTGATAAGGAGACGTGCTGATTAGTTTTTGGCAAAGGCAAGTCTAGCCGTTCCGAAGATACGGGGCAAAAAGTGCCAAAAACATTACCTCCGTTTTTAAGAGAACGGAGCGTCCGATTTGAATAATTCAAAAAACATTTTACTTGTATTGACAAGATGAAGAATTAATCAAATTTTCATGAAGGCAGGTCTAGCGGTTTCGGAGATCTAATGAAAAAAGTAAAAAAAAATGCCATTCGGCGGTTAAAAATGATCATTAGACATAAGCACATCAAATTGTCAGATATTTTATAGAGATTTTAACAATAAGTATAATTTTTTTTTACATTTCTGTGGGTTCCGTACCAATGCTTATGCGTTAGACGGCGGCGCGGCACCTGCGAGCTTTGAAATTTCGTCTCTATGCAGTTCAAGCAGTGCGATTGCTTTGAAAAAAAGTTCAGAATTTTCAAAATATATCAAAATGAAGAGAACATTTTTTTTCAAAAAAATTTTTTGTTTTCAAAAAAAAATTTTTTTCTCAAAAAAAAATTTTTATTTCGAATCAAAAATTTTTTTTTTTCAAAAAAAAGTATTTTTTTGTCAAATTTATAGTTTCTCAAAAATCTATTTTTTTCGAAGTAAATTTTTTTCAAAAATGTTAATCGTTTTTAAAAAAATAATAATTTTTGGTACGGGAAGTTCCAGCAATTTGCCTTAAGGCACGATGCCCCAATTGCCTTAAGACAGAATTCCACTTACAGCTAGTTACTTTTTTCACTAGATCTCTGTAACCGCTAGACCTGCCTTCTCAAAAATTTAATCAGTTCTTCATCTTGATAATACAAGTAAAATGTTTTAAAATTATTTAAATCGGACGCTCCGTTCTCTTAAAAACTGAGTTACCGTTTTCGGCACTTTTTGCCCCGTATCTTCGGAACGGCTAGACCTGCCTCTGCCAAAAACTAATCAGCACGTCTCCTTATCGATACTAATCGAATGTTTTTTGAATTATTCAAATCGGTTGATCCGTGTTCCCGAAATCGTCGACGAAAATTTGTATCCGCACATACATACACACACGTACATACATACATACACACACACACACACACATACATCCATTTTTTCTAAGGTATGCCAAAATATTCAGAAACCTCTGAAACGTAAACATATATAAAAATTTTCATTTTCGATTTTTTTGCGATTACTATAACTTGCCCTACGGGAAGTTAATAAGTTTAACAGCTAGGATTAAACCTCATTCCATTATTTAGAACATATATTATTGTGTTATTATTGTAGGTAACAAGTTACTTGAATTATATTGAAGATTGAGTTGTAGTTGAATTGGTTTTGGTATAGTAACTTTTTTTATGGAAGTATTTATGCCTTGGTACGTGAGTAGGTGCTTGTCTGTAATTTTTAATTAGATTGTGATGATAAATAATTACAGAGAACTATTTCACAATAATTCTTAATAAGTCAATGGTGCGTAATTCCAATTTTATTAAACCTCTCCCAGTTGTTATCGTTATCGTCAAAGTGATAATAAATGATAAAGTTTATCACTGAAATTGTAGAGAATCATAGGCTAAAATGCACCTGTAGTAAGGCGTTATTATCGTATTAGCTTTTACAATAAGAGTCACATATGTATATTTATATTGTAGTGAATTTCAAATAACAATATTTAGTGGATTAGATCCAAATAAGGCATCAGTGATGTTGTTAATAAAAGAAATTTATTGGTTTGGTTTGGTTTTTCTCTGTTGTAATAGTATTTATGGTCAGGTTGAAGATGAGCCATACGACGAATCTTCAGAGAATATAAATCTTAGTGAAACAGGTGAAAATACGAGCTCGTACTTATCTGATTCTGAAGGAACTTTAAATAAAAATATTGACGAGGCCGAGTTGATTGAAAGTAATATACCGTTGACATTAAGATCAATGACAGATGTGCAATCTGGAAATTACATCGATGAAAGTGGTTTCAACCAAAACGATTTGGATGGTATTTATGGTAAGATTTATTAATAATAAAAACATAGCTCAGAAGTCAAGTAGTAATGTTATCACAAACATTCCTGATTGTTGACTAATGGCTGACACATCAAACAGCACGACGCAATTGTAATTCGATAAAAGAAAGTTTTTTTAAACACATTGTAGCAATATTTCCGGAGAACAATTTCAACAAGATCCTTCTTGTAGAAATATTTTAAAAAATGCGAAAATGTTAGCAAAGATATTAAAATGAAAATGAGTCATAGAATATAAATAGCTGAATCATCTTTGATGGCCCTGCTATATACATAGGTTTATAATTGAATTGATTTTTGAGCAGCAAGTTATGATAATAAGTATTTTTATCACATATGATAAAAATACCTGATATATGATATGTTTCTACTTATTTTATACAGTAATTTTTTAAATATTTTCGAAGAATTTACAAATAAAATTTTGCTTTAAAGTGAACCTATGCTGTGATGATAAATTATTTGTGAATATGTGATTATAAAGTTTCTTTTCAATTTTGTTTTCAATTACTCTAATTTTTAATTTATTTTCGTCCACTTCTTTTTTGCTAACATCGATTTCATCATCATTTTTAGACCACGAAAAGAGCAAACTATTATCAAAATGTATTTATTATTATTAATACTCATATGAATGATTGTCACGATTATTCAATAAAGCGAATATAATAATAAATAGAAGTATATCATCCTAAAAATATAAAGCTTGCAATAAAACTATATTAAATATTTTAAAACGTAAAAACATTTTAGCAATTAACTCATTTTTTAATCAAATAAAAGTAACAAACTTTGTAATAATTCTTCGAAAACTATGATTGAAAATGAAGTGCTTCTAAATATCATATCTAAAAACATTTAGATAAAATTGAAATCTTTACTGCGGGTATTATCATAAAGTATGTACCTACAAATTAGTCACATAAAAAAAACTTAATTAGAAAAAATACTTTTGAGTACTTCTTTATATTGTTTTAATAGACTCTAATATGGGATCAAAAATTATGTTTATGGTTACAGATTTTTTGATTAATTAGGCAAATAAATTGAAATAAATAAGGTTTTTAGCATTTTAGACATAAGTGTAAACCGAATATCAATTTATATCCAATGGCTTAAATTGAAGTTATTAATGACAGTGTTTTTTTTTTCAAATTGCCTCGTCACAGTTTCAATTTTCAGATCAGTATGATAAAATTTTAGTAAATCTTGTACATCTATTTTTAACTTCCCGTAGGGTAAGTTATAGTAATCGCAAAAAAATCGAAAATGAAAATTTTTATATATCTTTACGTTTCAGAGGTTTCTGAACATTTTGGCATACCTTAGAAAAAATGGATGTATGTGTGTGTGTGTGTGTGTGTGTGTGTGTGTGTGTGTGTGTGCGTGTGTGTATGTATGTGCGGATACAAATTTTCGTCGACGATTTCGGGAACACGGATCAACCGATTTGAATAATTCAAAAAACATTCGATTCGTATTGATAAGGAGACGTGCTGATTAGTTTTTGGCGAAGGCAGGTCTAGCCGTTCCGGAGATACGGGGCAAAAAGTGCCGAAAACGGTAACTCAGTTTTTAAGAGAACGGAGCGTCCGATTTTAATAATTCAAAAAACATTTTACTTGTATTGACAAGGTAAAGAATTGATCAAATTTTCATAAAGGCAGGTCTAGCGGTTTCGGAGATCTAACAAAAAAAGTAGAAAAAAATGCCATTTGGCGGTCAAATATGATCATTAGACATATGCACATCAAATTTTCAGATATTTTATAGAGATTTTAACAATAAGTATAAATTTTGTTTATTTTCCTATGGGTTCCGTATCAATGTTTACCCGTTAGACAGCGACGCCGCGCTTACGCGCTTTATATTTTGTCTCTAGGCAGTTAAAGCAGCACGATTGCTTTGAAAAACAAGTTCAGATCTTCCAAAATATGTCAAAATAAAGAAAAAAAATTTTTTTTTCAAAAAAAAAAAAATTTAAAAAAAATTTTTTTCTTTAAAAAAATTTAAACAAAAATTTTTTTTTAAAAAAAAGTAATTTTTTGTCCAATTTATAGTTTCTCAAAAATCTTATTTTTTCGAAGTAAATTTTTTTCAAAAATGTTAATCGTTTTTAAAAAAAATAATAATTTTTGGTACGGGAAGTTCCAGCAATTTGCCTTAAGGCACGATGCCCTAATTGCCTTAAGACAGAATTCCACTTACAGCTAGTTACTTATAAACTTATAGCATTTCTGGGCATTGCTGCGACCCAAATTAAGTATATAAAAATATAGTAACAACTAGAAAGTATAGGAATTGAGTATCCTTCAAGTAGCCATCAGTAAAAATCTCGAAAACACTTTGTCTAAAATAGTTATAAATATACTTTAAATGTACTTTTTATTGACAAAAAATAAACAAAAGAATTGACTAAGAATAATTGTTCTTAGTTCAGAATGTTAAAATGCAATAACATTTATAAAAACAATTTTGTTTTTATTTATATTTCTTGTTCAGAGCACAACATAATATTTATTACTAATGATTGCCGTTAGCTTGTGAATAAATAAACAAATTATTATTTATTAAAGTTGTGTTTATATATATATATATATATATATATATATATATATATGTACGTGTATTATAATAACAGGAGCTCTGCGCGAAGATACGCCTGTGAACTGAAATTACATAACACCTGTAATAAGACAAATGTAGTGTGGTAGATTATTTTGTTCATTTCATATTCTAATACCTGAATGCGCTATTTTTAATTGAATATATTTTTGATCTATATTTTCAAGTAAAAATAAATAATACTTCTTAATATCAAATTAATATTTATCGATCGTTTCGATAATATAATCGAAACAACTACCTTATCTACACGCACACACGCTGCCCTATGAACTAAATTTCATATAATAATCCCCGGTAGCTTATGTGAAAAAATAGTAAGAGCAAAATTAATTCAACTCTGAGATTTTATCTACATTACTTCAAAACTTTAAAGTTCTCATTATTTTTTAAAGAATATAGTACATAACAAGCTAGGATTAAAGTGTGTCACGATTTACTTTTCATATTTTGCTTATCTTCTTGATAGTAACGTTATCATAATCAAACACACATATAAAAGTATAAATACCTGAGCATGGATTTATTTGAAAATATTTTTCCTATTTGTGCGACCTTATTTATATATAGGTACATATATAAGAATTTTGTGTCAACAACTATTTGATGCAATATGAAATTTTTAATTTTTACTAACTCCTTGTTCAAATTTGAAAACTTGCTTGTTTGACGTGAAATGATTTTATGTACTTCGGTCGTTATTAGTAGATAGTGAATCGCATAGAATTATTCAATAACATTAGTACTTTTTGCAAAAATTAATTAAACTAGTGGTATATGGCATCGTGCCTTAAAGCAAATTGCTGAAACTTTCCGTACTTTAGTGAAATATTCGAAGAATTAAATTCAGTAAAAAAAAATATTTTTTGAAAATTAAAAAAAAAGAAAAAAAACCTTTCTTCTCAAACTATGATTTCGTCAAAACAAGCAGAAAGTTTTTTGAATCATTCAAATCAGATGCTTAGTTCTTTCAAAAACTGCCATATTTTGCATATTTAGCTCTATATCTCCGAAACAGTTAGGCCTGCCTTTGCCAAAATCTAATTACAATTTCTCCCCATCATTACGAATTGAATAATTTTAAATCGGATGCTCCGTTCTCTTAAAAACACGTTTTCTATTTTCTGGACGACCTGCCTTTGCTAAAAACTAATCAGCACATCTCCCTATCAATAAGAATCGAATATTTTTGAACCATTCCGTGCGCCCGAAAACGTGGACAAAAAACTGTATTCATACATACATACATATACACACATACACGCATACATCCATTTTTCGAAAACGTGAAGATATGCAAACATTCACAATTTCGATTTTTGGACGATTATAATAACTTACGTAGTACAAATAGCTTTTAATTAGAAATATACTAAATTATAAATATTTTAACCTCAAATTTAAAAATATTCGAACATTAAATGTCCTTTAAATGGTAGTTATGTTTGAAGATAAACGGTTTTGTAATGAAAATAATGTAAAGTATAAAATAAGATCTATTTCAAATGATATGAAAATGAAAATTTTATATTAAAGTTAATTATATCCAGATTTTTTCTTATTATTTTAAATGCAAGGTTTTAGGCCCAACCAAATTTCGACATTGTAAATTTAATAATTTTGAATTTGCTCTGACCTAAGCAATTGAGGGATTCTAAGCAATTTAATTAAGTATGTTATTACAAGTCGATTTAACAAGAACCTTTATACATCAAAACCGAAACAAGTAGATTTATTTACTTTAATTTTAAATGTTTATTTTGCTTTTTGAATAAATCAAATATATTCTAATATTCTGTTATAATAAATTAATTAATTACCTCCTGTCGATAGATTATATTAATAACTGTTTAATGAAAAAATATTAACACAAATCAGTATAGTATAATATTATACCCTATTCACTAATGTAAAATTCAACAGATTCATTAACCTCTCGGGTTGAGCCATCAGAACCTCCAAAATTCCAAAAGCCTGGATACATCATACCAGAAACTCGACTGAAGGAAATTCGTTCGAATTTTATGTATTGGTATTTCGACAAAGGCGGAAACAATAATAATGGAGATTATCAGACGGATATTCATAATTCAATTCCGCAAATTCATAAAAACTTCAACTTCCAACTTCCATTCTATGGTTTCAGATACAATTACACACGGGTAAGTGCTACTGCAGAAATGAGCTTAGTATCTACTAATTCATAAACAAAAATCTATTATGGACTGTCTATATTTTATAAAGTATCAGATTTTTAGACTCAACTTTCATAGATAATAAGTACATACCTTGCAATATTTTGAGATATATTGGAACTACTTGTTTGAGTTGACTTCACAACTTAAAAATATTTTTAAAATATTTTCTGAATATCTTCTATTTTAATTTTTTCTAAATACCTTTTCTTTGCTTATTTATAATTTTTCATATATAATAATTAATTTATATAAAAATATGCTTGTACCTTTCTTTATACAGGAAATAATATATGTGATATAATTGATAAACTTTTTTTTTATTTGAGTTGGTCTGGTAAATTTACTTTGAATATCACATTCTAAAAATGACCAATTTTTGTACTTTACATTTTTTCCATTCACTTCATTTTCATGTAAACATATATTATTTTTTATGTACTGTCTCCGACATGAAGCCCCAATTGCTAGTTTGCACATTAAAATTTATTTTTACATTGCAACAGTTTATTACTATTATTCATGTGACTTTCATCATAATATCTGACACTGTCAGACCTTTCGAGATTCACTGCCACCTTCAATATTTATTATTTTAAAATGAAAACTAACTCATAAAATCAAAAGTAATAAAATAATGAATAAAATCTAATGTATAATTGTATATAACGAATACTCTGAACACGTGAATCTCAATATGAAGACAGGTCAATTTTAATAAATCTATCAAGATAATACATATGCATAATAATAATATCGATAATATATATAATTATATATATATTGGGCGGGTCGAAATTAAGGTCACTTAGGCACATATGATTTTCGGATACTAGGGATCAAAATAAGATACTTTGCTGAAGAAACCATAGCTCTAAAATGAATTTTGATGTCCCGTGCACTGACCCAAAGATAAGGGTTAAATTTTGAAAAACCACTCAGTGGGGGTCCCAGGGTGTAAACCACTGGCATGGGTTGATTGGCCTTCCAAAGTTAGTGATGGTTAGTCATACATTTGAACCCGATTCGGGCCCTCTAAATGGGTGAAAATAAAAAATTTCAAAGTTTGATCGTTATTTTTGGGTCAAAGCACGTTACATAAAAATTCATTTTAGAAGTATGGTTTCTGAAGCGAAGTATCTTATTTTGATACCTAGTACCCGAAAATCATATGTACCTAAGCGACTTTTTATGACTCATACAAATAATTCGGCAAAATAAAAGATAAGTTAAAGAAAATTAAAAAAAATAATACACGTTTCGAAACTTAATGTGTGTCATCATTCAGTAATCACCAGATTAAAAACATGAAACTTATACATCTTAATAAAAATATTTTTTTTTGAAAGAATTTGACACAAAACCATAATTTTAAGAAAAGAAAGAATTCTATTATGTGAATGCATAATTGAGCAAAAAATTATAAATCATACCACCCCGTAAAAGTGACAAGACCAATGTGATCATCAAACTATCTATCTATCTATCTATCTAATATATGTATATATATATATATATATATATATATATATATATATTTACATCTATACATATTATTGTATGGGATATATTCAAAAAATTCTCATGAAAAAAATTAAATTTTCAGTTGTCAATGAATGGCTACTTAGAATTCAGCGACCCACCGGAGCACCTAACTTATCCACTCGTTTTCCCAATCAAAGATTGGCCTAAAGTCAACGATCCGGCTTTTATAGGAATATTCTTCAGCAAGTGCCGCATTGGTCGTTTAGGGAAAGATGAAAAGGATCAACGAAGACCAGGTGTCTATTTCCGTCAGGAAAGAGATCTTATGTCTCGTACCGATAAATTTGGAGTCGAAGTCCGTGAACGATTGCAATGGGATATTCGTGAAGGTGTCATCGGTGCCAATAATTTCGTTCCCAAACACGCGGTCATCATCACTTGGAAAAACATGACATTCAACGGCGGTTTGGGAAACGCTTTGGAATTGGTAATTATGAATTAAATAATAAAGTCTTTATGGCATCATACTGGAAGAATTTAAAATAAACAGTTGTTTCATCATTCGAATTAAAAATTCAATCCCCAATCTCAATGGGTAATATATTGCATTTTATTTATCATTTAAAAAATATTTAAAGAAAACATATGCCCATCACTAAAGGACCCGTTCTTGTACCTGAAGAACAAATTAGAATTTTATATAATTTTTCAAAATATTCAACCAATTTTTTTTATTTGTAATTATTGGTAAATAAATAGTATTACATAAATGTATTATTCTAGACTAACACTTTCCAAATGGTGTTGGCTACCGATGAAGTATTCACCTATGCCATCTTCAACTACGCGAGTATAAAATGGACTTCACATACTGAAGCCGGAGGTGATACAACCACTGGAGAAGGTGGTGTTCCTGCTTATGTAAGTATCATTTATTTATTTAGCAGACCTCTATACTTCTAAAAGGGATGGTAATAGCATTTTTTCGTATATTGTGAAAGATATAGCGCGAGAAGGAGTCTCTGCAAGTTCTACTTTACAGAAAATAATTACACTAATGATAGATTATCAAGAAACCCCAACTTAAATGGGGTAATGGGAGACAGGAAAAATGTAGAACAAAGCTTTAGAATTTATTGATTTTCCAAGCAAATTCTGCATGTAAAATATAAATGATGCATCTTTTTTCATGCTATAAAGCTTTATTATATATATGAGAACTATTATATATATATATATATATATATATATATATATATATATATATATATATATTATTTTACCTTGTTGTCAGATTGGTTTCAATGGCGGAAATGGCACCCAAAGTTATGAATATAAACCTTATTCGCAAGAATCAGTTCTAAGAGATTTAACAGGCAGAGGATACGCTAATGGTTTTCCAGGCAGACACATATTCCGTATTGATGAAAAAATAATGCTAGGAACCTGTAACAAAGATATTGGTGAGTTCAAATCGATATATAAAATTTCCTAATTCTAAATTTGATGTACAAAATCATGCAGTTTAATAGACAGAATTATAATTTTGACATTGGTTTGATGATACCAGAAACATCACTTACCTACTGAAAAAATATTTTAATAGATTCGTTAATTTCAGCTTAATGACATTCTTAATAGTATGCTAAACACATTTTTTATAGCATGTTCTTACCACTGATAATATCCCAGTAAACACCGTGTGATGTGAGCGTCGGCAGCAACCTGAAATCCACAAGCATTCCTTCGGCGCTGTGACACCCATGTATAATCGATGTGGACTTCAAATTGCTACCGCCGCCCGGTGTTTACTGGGAATATTTCTGTTTGAAATTATAAATCTTTTGTTTTCAGATCATGCCAACCTGCCTCTCGTTTTTGCACCCGAGAGTGGTAATATGCTCGGAGGGACTGTCGTCAACATCACTGGACCTTGTTTCAGCAACGACACTCGTGTCGTTTGTAAATTCGACACCGTGTCAGTCATAGGACATGTTGTAGACGTCAACCGAGCAGTTTGCGTCCAACCCTATCTCAATGCTCAGGGATATGTGCGATTCGAAGTGCAAATTGGAAATGAAGCGTTCAAATGGAAAGGAAAATACTTTGTAGGCATGTATAATTAAATTGATAAATTGATTGCTTGATACTGATTTTACTAAAACAACAAATCTGGTAAGGAATCAATATTTATGTATTATGTTACTTTACTGGTCAAAAATGTTTTTTGCCATTTATGATAATACTTTTGGTTTTTCTTTGATTTCACAAAACATCGACTTATTCACATCGAACATACTATAACTGTTAATAAAAGAGCTTGAAGATAATTTCAAATAAAAGTACTAAATCTGTGATTATATCGTCATTGTGCATAATATAATGTGGAAAGACTTCATGATAAAATGCTAGAACCTATTGCATTTGTGCTAGTAACGACTTTTGTTTTTACAGAAACTCCTGCATCGGCTGCTGATCAAATTTTCTTCCCGACAAATGACGTCCATAAGCGAAGCCCTAGAGAAATAAAAATAACTTGGAGCAAAGGCAACTTAACAACCAATTTGAATGCTGGTGTACGTATTTCTCTGTATGGCTATAGAGAAAGGACTATCCATCCTGAGTTAGAATATATCGATACGATAGAAGAAGGCGTCACGAACAACGGGGAATATGTAATTTCTCCGGCTAACTTTAGATTGCGTGAAAATCCTAGAACAAATGACATGACTTTTGGTTTCATTCACATCAATCTTACAAATGCTGATGGCATGAAATACACACCGTAAGATAATAATTACTTAATATCTTAATTGAATGACTTAATTTAAACACTCATTTTTTTCGCTAGGGTCTTATGGAGTAAGCCGATTCCTTTAGGATGGTATTTTGGTCCTCAATGGGAAAGATTATATGGTAATAATTGGCCGCGAAAGATTTGCGATAACTGGTTGAAGTCGGACAGATTTTTGAGAAATTTCGCTTCTGAAATATCAGTTTGTCCATGCACGTTAGAACATGCTCTAAACGACAAAGGACGTTTTATGCCAGATTTTGAATGTGACAAAGATTCTAATCCAAGCTGTTTGTATCACGATGGAGCTATTCATTGCGTTCGTACAGGGAATCCAAGGTAAATATGAGAAAACTTTATTAAAACAACTTTAAAATGATTTAAATATGAAAATTACATTGTCAATGAAATGCCAACCTTAATTGAAACATATAAAATATTTCAATTAAATAGCTCAATTTTATATATATTAAACAAACGTATATTTAGTCTTGAAGGATCTGAACAGCAATGCTGCTATGATCGTAATGGTTATTTAATGATGAGCTACGATCAGCAATGGGGCTCAAGACCACGACGTTCTCACAATTTAGGTGTTTTGCCCTGGAACGAAGCAAATAAAGTCCCCACGTTATCAACTTGGTTCCATGATATCGCACCATTTTACTCTTGTTGTTTCTGGCAAGATGAACAGGTGGGTTAGCTACTAAAAATAATATAGCTTCAATACTCAACTTGAATTTTTTCAAACTATTTTACAGTGTAATTTTTTGCAAGAAATAGTTGAATTACGCTTATTTGCAAGATACAGAAAATTTATATCTTGATGATTGATTTCACATTTTAATTTGTTCATTTAAGATCTTTTTTATATTTATGTTCTGGTATTTACCAGGCCGTGGGATGTGAAACGCTTCGTTTCGAAAGACGACCAACTCAGGACTGTGTAGCCTATCAGGCCCCAGCCGTTGCAGCCGTATTTGGAGATCCTCACATCATCACATTTGACAACTTGCATTATACTTTTAACGGAATGGGTAAGATATTTAATGGGCCAGATTTTACAATTTGATAATTTGACCATTTGCGCCACCTAAACTAAATTGACACGTTTGTAATATTATCCATGGTTTTCATATACGTTTACAATATTTGAAATGATTTATATAAACTAATATCAACTGGTATAAACTGGTATAAAACATTGCTGCCTTTTGTAAGCTGTTGTGATGATTATTTTTACAAATGCAAACTCTATGCTTGTCCTTTTACAATGCCTTGAACTGCGGTTTCACTCGAAGGTAGACATCACTACTGATTAATACCGGGTTGCACGCAACACGGAGCTTGAACTCAAAAACTAATGAATGCAAAGCCGAATCTATTACTTAAGCCACGTATTTCGCAGCCTTGTTAATTAACACGTTGACTGCAGAGGTCTTCGTTTTTCTATGCTGAAACATTTTACTCAAAAAATAGTTTAATAATAGTAATTCTGTGGTTTTGGCAAAAAGTGTTCTTTGGATTCTTTATCTACCTATAGGAATAACTAACTAGTTAGTTTTACTATGCCGCTAAATTGGGGGTAGATTTGAAGTAAATGTGGCACTATCGACAGCAGCACCAAGAAACGAGGGGATGTAGACGACTGCAGTCGAGGTGTTAACTTCCCAAAGGAGAAATTCGCAGTTTCTTCATAATAAATTGTTGAAAACATTTTTTTATTTGATTTTGGTGAATCTTTTTATGGTGATGGAGTTCATGATCTTTACGAACATCCTAAAATACAATAGGCCTTCAAAAAGTGGTTTTATCATAAAAAATTATCAAAGTTTGGGATAATGGGCCGAGTCAAAATTACAAAATTCTATCGCCCCCATTTGGAAAGTTGCTAGATCTGAACAAATATCGGAATGTTTTTTCAACTTGTCTTATATAAAATGCCACATATTCAGTTTATATGAATATTGCCTGTTTGTTTTGCTGTTGTCGTATTTTTTTTAATAAGTTCTTACTATAATGTTAATCAGTATCATCATAAACTTTTTCTAAACAAGTATGTTTATTTATGAATATATAAGTTTCTCTGGTAATCCGGATGTATCTAAATGATTTATAACTGAAATTAAAAATTTACTCTTCCGCTTCAATACCTGATTGATTCTGTTATCCCATTATTAACTCAACTTATTTACGTAATCTTGAAAGTGGGTACATAAGTCATTTTGATTTTCCCTTTTCCCAGGCGAGTTTGTTCTGCTGCGAGGTAATACCGGCCGAGACAAACTAGAAATTCAAGGAAGATTCGAACGAGTGCCGGCTAACGCGTATGGCCCTGTCGAAGCAACTCAACTAACGTCCATTGTCGCTTCCGGTAACACAAGTACAATTATCGAAGTGCGTGTTCGGCCGACACACGCTCAATGGAGATACCGTTTAGATGTGTTTGCCAATAACAAACGCATTTATTTCGACAGACCTTCTCTCAAGTTTCAACACTTCCAAGGTAAGCTAAATATTTACAACGAGAAAAAATTTGAATGATATGATATTGCTATTGTAAGGATTCGTCAAGCCCTAATCGGTTGCCGCCGATCATGGGAGTAGGTTGGGATCAGTGGTGCTAGAGATTTAAAAGATAAAAGATTTTTAAAGATTTAAAATATGTTTTTTATTAAAAAGGATAAACAATAAATGAAAGGAAATTTTGTTTTTGATCTATTCCATAAGTTCTAAATTCAGCTTATTAACCCTTTCGCTGTCGTTCATGGACGACATCTAAGTGTCGTCTATGAACGACATCCGTATTAGGGGCCGTTCAAGTATTACGTAAGCGCTATAGGGGGCAGGAGGGTTGTTGATTTGCTTATTTTGGGTTGACATGGGGGGCAGGGGAGTCTGGATGATGATTACGTCATAGATGGTATTTTTATTTTTTTACATTAATTGCAAAATGTTTACGTAAGCAAGGAAGGTAGGGGGTAAAAGCTTTGCTTACTTTTGCTGACAAGGGGGATAGGGGGGTAAACTAGCTGTAAGTAGAATTCTGTCTTAAGGCAATTAAGGCATCGTGCCTTAAGGCAAATTGCTGGAACTTCCCGTACCAAAAATTATTAATTTTTTAAAAACGATTAACATTTTTGAAAAAAATGTACTTTGAAAAAATAAGATTTTTGAGAAACTATATATATGGACAAAAAATTACTTTTTTTTGAAAAAAAAAATTAAAAAAAAAAAAAAAATTTTTTTAATTTTATTTTTGAAAAAAAATTTTTTTTCTTTATTTTGACATATTGTGGAAGATCTGAACTTTTTTTCAAAGCAATCGTACTGATTTAACTGCATAGGGAAAAAATATAAAGCGCGTAAGCGCCGCGTCGCTGTCTAACGCATAAGCATTGGTACGGAACCCATAGGAATGTTAACAAAATGTATACTTATTGTTAAAATCTCTATAAAATATCTGATAATTTGATGTGCATATGTCTAATGAACATTTTTGACCGCCCAATGGCTCATTTTTTTACTTTTTCCTCCATATCTCCGAAACCGCTAGACCTACCTTTATGAAAATTTTATCGATTCTTCATCTTGTCAATACAAGTGAAATGTTTTTTGAATTATTTAAATCGGACGCTCCGTTCTCTTAAAAACTGAGTTACCGTTTTTGGCACTTTTTGCCCCGTATCTTCGGAACGGCTAGACCTGCCTTCGCCAAAAACTAATCAGCACGTCTCCTTATCAATACGAATCGAATGTTTTTTGAATTATTCAAATCGGTTGATCCGTGTTCCCGAAATCGTCGACGAAAATTTGTATCCGCACATACATACACACACGTACATACATACACACACACATACACACACACACACACACACACACACACATACATCCATTTTTTCTAAGGTATGCCAAAATGTTCAAAAACCTTTGAAACGTAAAGATATATAAAAATTTTCATTTTCGATTTTTTTGCGATTACTATAACTTGCCCTACGGGAAGTTAATAATTGTAATAAATCTGCTTACGTAATACTTGCACAATCCCTTACGTGCTAAGTGTACGGCTTCAAGATTCATTACTATGAATTAAAGTATTGGCAATTCATCATTTTTATAGTAATTTTTAGTTGATTAAAAGCGCAATTCTAATTTTTGCCCAATCCATTCAATAGCACTAATAATGGACACGCTGTTCCGTACAGCAGCGTCACTCGTGCGGTAAACCCTCTCGTACCGAAGGGGTAAATCAAACGCAATAAGAAAAAGCTTATACAAATTTTTGTTTTTTATAATAAATTTATGTATGTTTATATCTAGATTAAAATAATTTTGGAATGCATTCGCAAAAACAGCAATACATTTTTCTCCGGCTAAAACTTTAAAGCACATTTTAATTCATTAGGTTTAACTTTATAATACAGCACTGCTTTTGTGGAATTATCGTTTTTAACTTTCATAGGGTAATTAATTAAAATCGCAAAAAAACAAATGATTTTGTAGGTATCTTTACTTTTAAAGATCTTCTGATCACTTTGGCATAACTTAGAAAAAATTAGATGTATGTTTGTGGACCAGGCAAGTTTGCTTGGGAAAACTTCTAAACCAATTTGGATGGTTCAAAGAACATTCAATTTGTATTTCTAATGCGCAAAAATAATTTGATTGAAAACAGGTTCTTTGGTATCGACTATAAGCCCAATAGAGTGCTAAATCGGCAATTTCTGAACAAAGAATAAGTTTATCATATATGCATATAAATATATCATTTTATATGAAGCTTTCAAAATATGCATGTATTTTATGAATTGAAAAATAAATCAAAGTTTGCAGACCGTACCATTGATAAAAATGTAAAAAAAAAATTACTCGAGACGAAAGTTTTTGAAAAATATTGAAGAGGGTAATCGATGTTTTGTTTAATTGATTTTAGGTGTTACTGTATATACACCAACATACATCTTGAATCAGTCTGAAGTTGTTATAATGTTTGCTTCCGGAGCCGGAGTAGAAGTTGTAGAAAATCAAGGATTTATGACTGCTAGAGTTTATTTACCATGGACATTTATTGTAAGTAAAAGTTCACTTTCTACAGTACTCAAATGAGAAAATAAACAATATACTTTTATTACATATAATACTTTTTTTTCAAATAATAGTACAAGTTAAAAAGACGCTATATTTTTTACATTATCCTAACGGTTATGTATCCAATCACTTGATTATTTTCGCTAGTTTTGATGGTATTTCAATCAAATTATATTATATTTGCCTGGCCTTTTCATTTCATTTGCATTTCTAGTTTTTGTTCTGCTAAACGTCTATTTCATTGCTAAGAATTGACTGTTTATGAATATTATTCTACGTGTTTCAGAATAAAACTGCTGGTCTACTCGGAAATTGGAGTTGGGATATGGCAGACGACTTTGTCAAACCTGATGGAACTTTTGTGCCTGTTAATCTCAACAGTTTTGAATCTGTTCATAAAGATTTCGCACGTCACTGTAAGTAGTAACATCCTTTTAAATAAGCATCTTGAATATGAAATACATTAATCTTAAAGGTTGACTTCAAAAATTATTTGAATATTTGTTATATGTGATACTTCCCAAGTAGTAATTATGATTATTAATAAATTGATCAATCAATATACGTATTTCACTTTTCTTTCTAAATCAAGGGATGCTGGCGGATCGTGAAAATGAACACCTCGGAGCGGCACTCTTCACTCGTGAATTTGGTCGCACAGCCAGTTATTATGCAAATTCCTCATTTATACCAAACTGGGTTAAAGAACCTAAAGATTTTCTTCCATCAAACAGAAGTAGCGACATCAATCGTGCTGAAGATTTATGTGGAGAATCATATCAATGTCGATATGATTACGGTATGACTCTCAACAGAGATATGGCTCATTTTACAAAGAATTATTACGACAGTGCTATAAATATTAAGGATAAGAATAGTAAACGAATAATGACATGTGGTATATTGGAAACTCCACGGTTTGGACGTAAAAGCACTTTCCTTTTCATACCGGGTACAAGAGTATCTTTCGAATGCAATCAAGGATTTATCCTGACGGGAGATCCAAGGAGAATCTGTCTCGATGATGGCTCTTGGGACGTTCCTGTTTATGGATATACTGAATGTTTACGTAAGTTTTTATATTTATATTAAATATTTATAAATTATATATATATATATATATATATATATATATATATATATATACATATAATCTGTTATTATGTGCCGAATAAGATTCTGATTTATAAACAGAAAATTGAAATTATGATCTAATGTCGATACGTTTTTTGATTGAATAGTGATAAACCAAGTGATAATTACTAGCAATTCTTATGCCTCGACCAATATTCATAAACTTTGTAGTTGTTCATTGTTCCATTATTTCATAACATAAATATTCAATTTGAGAAAAATTATAACAATGCATGAAACCAAATTAAATATTGTAGTTAAACATAGTAGTCATATTTTGTATTAATTTCTTTCGAAGATCAGTTTCTAAATTTATATTATATCGCAGGTGAAATATTTTACACTACTCGCTCAGCATGGTTAACTGCCGGAATCATCTTTGCTGTTATGGTACCGATAGTGATATTGTTAGGAGTTTGTATAATATTTTTCCGACGTCGGGCTGCCAAACACGATCATGTATTCGACTTTGCGCCAAGATCTCGATCCAATAGTCGGGCAAATTTGCGCGCTAGCATGAGCAATTTAGCAGCAAAGCCGCAATATAAAGACACTCGCGAATTTGACTCAGACTTTGATCAGGTCGATACCGACTTAAGTTCAGGAAATGGTGGAACACTGCGCAAAATGAGGCAATATGACGATGTTTATCGTACGCATGAACCACTTAAAGGCAAACCCGAAATAGAATTTCCGGAGAAAAAATTAGACTTAAGCGAAGATGAAGTTATGTCTTCGGGCTCTAACGACAATAGAGACTTTAATACAAATCCAACCAATAAGTTTACTTACGGAGAACCAGCACATCAACTCGGTAGAAGTCGTCAAAAATTAACCAAAGATGATAATAATAAGGAATACAATGTAAATAATCCTTCGTCTCTTGGATATAACGTGCCAGACAGCCCCGACAGCCCTGGAAGTCCCGACAGCCCTGACAGCCCAACGTATTCGACAGCGACTAAGTCTTGGGCCCGCGACAATACTGTCGGATACGGGCACAATATTAATTCTCCAACTCATACTGCACACTACTCTCCAACATTTAACACAATAAATCAAGATGTTGGTTTACCTCGCTCAAATAGTCGAAGTACCGAAGTCTAACACTTTCACTTCATTCAATCTTTTTCACTTAGGTAAATTCTATTTTGTATTATATAAAAGTAAAGTTATAATACATTTAATCTATTTTTTAATTAGCATTAATGTTTCAAATCGTCATATTTAGTTAATTTAGTATGTTTATTTAGTTCAATATTATATATATCTGAAGATATCACATCGGTACTATGACAATGCAGTTACCAATTGGATTCTTGAATTTAATTTTTAAAGGTAAAACGCATTTCGTTATATTTTTTGTGTTAATCGTATAAACTATTGTTCAATAATTGATAAGTTTACCAACAATATATCTTAACTTAAGTTATGTTCAAAATTTTAATTTAAATTATAACCCTTTAATTATAACTATAAAATTCAAACTAAAATTCACATTCCAAAATTAATTGAAAAATCAAAATGTTTCCGACAAAATGTAGATAATTTATTAAATATTGTTTTAAAATAATTATTGAATATTTTTTATTACAGCTTGTAAGAATTACTTTTGTCACACGTGATTTTCGTTTTCACTGTAAAATAACGTACCTGCGATATTTTTTTTTTTTTAATAATAAATATACGTTTATGTTTAAACAAAGCGTGCGTATTTAACTTCTATTTTATAATCGACATTATAAATCATAGTAAGTGATCAATAATGAATCCTTTCAGGTTTTTAAAAACCAATGAAAATGTTTAAAAGCATTGTCTATAATTCCTATATGAATGTTTGATACTCCGCATTACGTACTTAATTCGTTCCGAGAGAAAGTTCGTTATGCAAAAAGTTCGCTATGCAAAACGCGCTTTTCCAAGCAAATGCAAGAAAATAAAAAAAATTCGTTTTGTAGTTTCAAATATGGTCATTTACTTACATTACTAATTTACGAAATAAGTTATTATCAGAGTGGTACTGCTTTCTTTTTTGCCTATTTAGCTCCTAAATTTTGAAGAAACTGTCGATAGTTGTTGCACCCTTGGTTATATTAAAAAAAAAGTCGCAAATATAATATCAAATATAAATATAGTTTTATAATAACTAATTTGTTATTACAGGTGAGCAAGAGTATTCATCTCGCAATGCCGGTATAACAACTGGAATCGTATTCGCTGTACTATTGCCATTATTATTAGCAATTCTATGTGCTGCCTATCAAATGTTAAGAAGAAGGGCTAAATTAAATAGAGAAGATGATGCATTTCCAAAATCACATAACAATAGATTATAGATGTTAATACGATAAAATTAAGATCAATAAGAAAGTTTATATTAGGGCATATTTAATCGATATGTCAATCTAAGTTTTCATATTTGTATTATAGTTGTATTTAAAATAATAATAATATTATAAATAATCAATCAGTTTCCATGAAGTTTCTACAATCAATTATTATAATAATAAGATTTTAATAGCAAGAGTATGTAAGAGTAAGTATGAGGGCTAAAGTCAAAATGTACTGTTATATGTATCTGACTTAAAATATTTTATGCAGATTCGATGCAATTAATTAATCCGTGCAATTCCATTTACCCATTAATACCATGCAATATTCAAAATTTGTCTCAAAAATTCCCTAAATTTCTCAAAATTATCCTCATAGTCGTTTTGATAACTTCATAAAGTATTATTTTTGATATTTAAAGCCATTTAAATATAAAAAATTTTATTCATAATTATGTTCAAAATAACTGCTAATTGTAGATATTTTTTGCTCTAATGATGTAAATTATTAATAAGATAAATAAATTTATAGTATAAGCTATTTTCACAATTAGTCACATGTATATTTATACTATTTCAATCTTAATATGTTAAAAGTAATAAAAATGTCATTTTTGAAACTACAAGAATTCTCAAAGTCAATTATTCAAAATTTCTAATCCGATCATAATCCCAAATCATGCGCATAAATATATATTAATTATTATTAAATATTTAGTTAATTTATACCGTATTATAATTTATATAAATGATTTTTTTATTGTAATACAAATATTAATAATATACTTATATTGGTTTGTTTATATTGAGTATTTACGCACTATATTTGCCAATACATTATGCAGTTCATGAAAGGGACGTATTGTAAAATATTTGTTAAAAACCGTTTTGTTTTAAATAACGAAAACATTTACTCACTCGATCGCAAAATCTGGTATTAATAAAAATCATTCATTTTTGGCTATATTAGAAAGTAACAAAAAGAATATTTATTTGTCTAATTCAGTATTTCCCTTTTTTAAGACGCACTTTAAAAGTTCTTTTAGTTATAAAACTATACTCATAAAAAATGTGAAGAATAATATTTATCTCTACTTTTTTCAAGAATTAGTTTTTTTTTGGTAAATTTCCAACCAATTTCTAACAATGCATTTACATATCCCAAGACTTGAAGTCGAGCTAGCAGTATTTCTAAATTGCCATTAAAAACATTGGTGCAATTAGTTTATCAATATTGAGTTGAGATAATATATTTTAGATTGGAAGAAGATAAGTAATTAAAAATTGATTTAATAATGATTGGCAATATTAATCAAGACATCCAATTTCCTTCAAAATAGAATAGGATAGGAGCAGTAATATTAAGGTCTCGTGTATAAGGTTGTTCGGAAAGTCACTTCGTTTTTTTTTTACCACCAGAATTTAACTATATTTTTTGAACCTAACATCACACCTAAGCCCTATAATTACTATATGATTTGAAAACTTATATTTTAAGGCTCGTGTGTAAAAAATTCTAATCAATTACATGCAGTAGTTACTGGATGATGCCACTTTGAATATGGAAAAAATTAAGCGGCATTTTCGACATATTTTACTCTTTTGCTATAGAAAATTTAAAAAAAATTGTTTAAGTCAAAATGAAATTGGTCGATATGTACGGAAATGACGTGTCGATAGTACGACAGTGCCAAAATTGTTATGCACCAAGACCAAGAACTACGGTTGAAGCTGATCAAGACGCGAGAAAGGCATTAGTTGATGCAAACCGACGAATAACAATATATGAGATCCCATTGAGTGAAAACTCATATTTTAACTGTTCATGAATACACAAAAAGTCTGAGATTTTCCTCGAAACTCAATGCATGGTTTCATAAAAAGGAACGTGTGTCGTCGCACTGGCGTCCACGATTCGCCTCTGAGAAGTCTTGAAAATTATCAGGATTTGAAGCGAATTGTCACTATGAATTTCAAATGGGATGTAAAGAATACAATACACCCAATTGCCCATGAAACAAAAAAAACCTGCTCAAAACAGATGCAAAGCTGAAATTTTCCAGAAAAAGGTGATGCAGCCTGTTTGGTAAGATATTAAAAGAGTTGTTAATTTTTCAGCCTTTTCAGAATAACATAACGGTTAATTCGGGTGCCTTATGTCAGCAGTTGGATAAACTAAATAATATACTTCAATAGAAAAGGTCAGAATTAACCCACAAGCAAGGTATAGTCCTGTATCAAGACAACGCAATACCTCTCATAAGTTTGGTCAATCACCAAAAGCTTTTGAAGCTTGAATGGGGCCCAATGACACATTCATCATATTTTCCAGACCTGCCATCATCGGATCATCATTTCTTCCGACCACTAAAAAAAATTTTTAAGCGGTAAAACCTTTACCTCAAATCAGCCTGTCAAAAAGCACTTTGATCAGTTTTTTGCCAATAACGACCAAAAAACTTATGATTTCGGAATTATGCTAATACCAGAAATATGACAAAAGATGTTCGATCAAAACTGCCAATACATAATTTATTAAAGTTATTGTTTATTGTACGAAAATTACGTGCCAAAATATCTATAAAAAACGAAGTTACTTTCCGAACAACCCAATTGGTCTAGTAAGTGTTATAAAAGTAATAAATTATGGACTCCTCACTAATTTGTGTTTTGTAGCGAAAAGTAAACCTAAAATATTTTTTTTTGATAGTAAGTATTCATTCAAAACATTCTGGAACTAGTCACATTTCATCACTAAGCTTTCTAGCAAGAACAATATACATAGATATTACAATAAATGAGATAACAAGAAAGTAAATGAGAACAAAATTAAATTTTTAAAGCTATATTACTCTTTTTATTTTATTTTTTTTTCATTTTTCAATACATGTAAATCCAACAATTTAATCCCTTAAATGATAATGACTTCATCTGAAGCCACAAACATCTTGCCATTATAATTCACAAAATATTGAAAAAAAAAACATGTTACAGGTATTATATTTAAATCATAGAAAAGGTGAATTATTAGATAATGATGTATAATTCAATATGATTCGCAGGTAAATAACGATTTTTTCTCAATTTTATCATTCTACGTTGTTGTTAAAGTTAGAAAGCAGTTATTTAAATATTGAGATTTCTTCTAATACTTCTAATATATTTGTATTTTGTTCTCTATGAAAAACGTATTGATGGAATGTAAATAGTTCATGTTTGGTCCACTATATGGACTTCCTATTGGAGTTACACACACACACGCGCGCACACACACACACACACACACACACACACTATATATATATATATATATATATATATATATATATATATATATATATCATAAAGTATATGGTTAAGGCAATACCTTAAATAAATATATTGTATTGTCATTTTGTTAATCTTACAAGTGGGGAACTCTGAACACCGACGTATTAAAAATATTGGCAAGCTTCAAAACTTATGACCACTGTTTAGAACAACCTAACGTTTCAGAATCTATCTGAAATTTGAAATAAGTTTTCACATATTTGTAGAATTCATAATTCATACATCTTGAACTTCATATATATAATATTCAGAATGCATGTTTCAAATATTTTAATATAAATATTAATCTTTCAAAAGCTATTTGAAATTTTTAACCATATTAAAATCAAAATTATGTGCAAAAACGAGAATGTCCAACTCAAACAAAAATGCTCGACAACAAAAAAACTAACTCGCTTAAAATAATAAAATGCTTATTATTGTGCATCTAAATTCTACTACAAAGACAATCAGCATTTTGAATAAAATGTTCCTTGATAAGCAATTTGTCACACTGTTGCAAAATATATGAATAAAGATAACTATGTTAATATACTTACATTTTAATGAATTTGTTTTTAATAATGGTAAATATTTTTTAAGTGCATCATATGCATAAATAAAGCATTTAAAAATTACATCAAATACTTTACCATAATGAAGAAGTTGCAAAATCTAATATGAAAAAATATAATATTTGTTTAAGAAAACTGAGTATTATAATTATTTGTTTCCGTTATACTAAGGATACTTGAGAATATAAAAAAATAATTACTCAATCAAATCTCGGTGTTATAGAAAAGTATTGCAACTGAACCATTTAATAAATGAAAAAGATACTATTACAATACTTATATGTTGTAACCTACTTTATTTGTGAAGATCAGATAAACTTGTATCTTACTTTACTTAATTTTATTCTAATTGCAAATAACTGATGGCAGGAATGATTTTTTCTAAAATTAAATTTATTTGCAAGATATTCTATAAATGACAACGTTTAATAATGTATTAAACAAATGGTAAGCTGAACAATTCAGTTGCCAAAGTGAGTTTAAATATTATTGATCACATTTTATTGAATCTTAAATTTAGTTCGATTTATTTAGACTATGTTTGACAAGAGCCTAAATTATATTTATGTTATTTCAAAATTATTTGTTCAAATATATGCAAGTATGCTTATATAAAGTGTTTCTCATATAAATATAAATATATGTAAGCAAATATTTCAGGTAAATGTACAAAATATGTAATTATATGAGTACATGTGTAAAAAAATAACAAATAATTTACCTTTAAAAGAAATTCTTACACTAGTGATTAGCACGATGAGACCAGTTTGAGAAATCATATGATAGTTGAAAATAAAAATGAAAAAAATATGACTTATTTTCATTCCTAGTATTCCTTTCATTTCTAATATTCCATTCAAGTAAAAATCATGACTGGCTGCAAGTGCTCATTTTCTTAACAGATATGCATGACGTCAGCCTTCTCCATTTTCTCTTTGGCACAGAATTAGTTTTCTCTTCAGAATAATTTTGCATCCTCTCCTCATGCATTTCATGTTCGCTGAAATAATTTCTAAAATCCCGGCTTTGGTAATGATAGTTTTGTAAATATGGAAGTACAGTACTGTTTCTTATACCATCACCTTTAAGGGGAGGAACGGGAACAGGACTTTCTAATCTTGGATGAGCACACAGCATCCAAGGGTGATTGCGAATTTCAGGAATTGAAATTCTATCTTTTGGATTTATTTGTAACATACATTGAATAAGATCAGATAAATTTTTTTCTAAACTTTCAGGTACCTTCCAGTCTCCTTTCCCAATATTCTCAAATAGCCTATAAATATTATCACCATCGAATGGATATTGACCCGTAGTAATATTAAATAATGTAACACCACTACTCCAAATATCTACTTTAAAACCAGAAAATGTTACTTGACCATTTGCAATTTCCGGTGGCTGAAATGCCGGTGATCCTTGACCAGTATGACATGTATCATCAAGTGCAAACAGATCTAACGATTGAGCCACACCAAAATCTGATATTTTAAGGGTTTCATCATTGGTCAAAAGTAAATTACCTGGTTTTATATCTTTATGCACTACACCCCTACTATGCAAATATTCTAATCCATTTATAAGCTGTGTAAAGTAATTATGTGCTTGAAATATAGGCAGCTTTTTACTAGGAACTGCATCCAACATTTCTTGTAAACCTCCTACACAATACTCAAGAACCAAATACATCTTCTGTTTCTCTTCATTACACAAAACATCTATTAGTTCTATCACATTTTTATGTTTTAGCCTGCGCAATAATTCTATTTCCCTTCTAACATTTTGTTCACCATTAGGAATGCGAATTAATTTACGCTTTTTCAAAATTTTTACAGCTCTACGACACAAGGTTTCAGAATCCATTACTTCCTTTACTTTGCCATAAGATCCCTCTCCTAAAACATCACCCATGACATACTTTCCTATTATTTTGCAAGACTTTTGTTTGCTTTCATAAATTATGTCTTTGCTATCAACACGATTAAAAAAGAAGTTCATGGGATCTTGATCTAATTTGTCGATCTCCTCATCGTCTAGCCATGTAACTTGAGGCTTTTCAAGAATACTGTTTGATGATGTATTATTGTCTAATATTATTCCATCTATACAAATAAAGCCTTCTTCACACATAATATCATTATTTTTAATTACACAAGAATGGGATTCCATTTTGACAATCAAACACCATTCAAATGTGTCCTATCATTAGGTAGCAACAGATAGTTATGGTACTTAAATCATATAAAAGAAATCATAAAGACGTTGAGCTGACCACGAAGCATCCCACCTACAAACATTAAACTCAATTAAAATGTATTATCATTTAGTATTTCAAAAGAAAATTAGCAATAACAAGGTACTAATGAAGAGAACTAACTTAAATTTTTCCCATCTCTTTTGATGTAAAGCCATCGTTATAACAATAATCCATATTAACAAATATTGAATTAATAAATAATAAATTGTACAATGAGACTTAATCAATCAATTCACTTCCATGCAGCTTTACATAAAATCAATTAAAAAATAATAGATATTAACGTAGAATGTGTCTATTTTTTATGCAGCAAACTTGTTAGACCGCGGGCACACACAATCGTTTGCACAATGTGTAGATGCGCCAGAGAGAAAAGGATGCCAATTGTAAACTCATAGACACACAGAGATAACCTTTAAATTTAGAGCGCTGACACACAGTCAAATTCGAAACAAGCCGGAACGAATAAATCAAATTCGAAACCACAACGAATACGATTTTTCTTGATTCGATCTAATATTAAGTCGTTTCAAATTTCAGATCAAAATAAATAGAATCTGATTCCAATAGTAAAAAAGCATCCGAACCATATAATTTCTAATTACAATCAAAACATGTAGTTTGCCAATAAAATTCGATTAGTGTGCATTAGGATCAGGATTAGGTATTATGGACTGCTTCAAATAAATCCGCTATAAAATTTTAATACTAAATATTGCCAATAATTGATGTCTTACTTTTATTTTGATCATGTGGTTTATTATGAGTTTATACGATTTGTAGATCTTTACTTTCTTGACCTATTTTGGAAGATGAATATGCTACTATGATACTACGGATACTATACCATACTACGGATACCATAGATAAAAGAAGAGTATGGATACTACTCATGATAAGTCAGTCCGAAAACAAGTTTACCCCAAATTAAGCTCACTGGTACTTTATAAAACCAGAAAAATACGAATATGATTATTATAAGATATGGCATTACGAAAAAGACAATGTAAATCATCATTAAGTGATTATGCAAGTAATAAAATATTTACAGTAATATAATAGTATTAATACATATTAGTGGATTATTAACCGAAAAGAATTTATGCCAGTAAATTAATAGTTGTGAAGTTTGTAAAGGTCCATCGAAAACAAATGAAGTAACTATACTATTTATTATTAATTATCTCTGTGCTTCTCTGGCTCACGAAACAAGTTGTGTAATTTTTTTATATGTCCTATAATCGAGTGCAGTTGTTGTGCGTGTTAGCATTTTTTTGAATATTCGTTTTTGTGTAAGAAAAATTATTCAACAACATGTCTGCATTGAATCTGGTGAAAGATGAGGTTAAAGAATGCCCCTTGTGTTCAGAAATACTTGAAGGGGACGATGTAAATTTTTTTCCTTGTGCCTGTTTGCTCCAGGTTTGTCGATTCTGTTGGCACCGACTTAGGACAGATGGTATCGGATGCCCAGCATGTTGGAATGTCTATTCTGAAGTCCCTGCAGAATTTTCACCTGTAAGTCAAGAAGAAAAGGCGGCTCTCAAAGCAAAAAAACGATACCTGGACCAGCAACGTAAGCAGAAGATATATGAGAATAAAAGACACCTAACCAATATGAGAATATTACAAAAAAATTTGGTTGTTGTTGTTGGCCTGCCCTTGAGATTGGCCGATTCTAAAGTCTTAAAAAAGGACGAATTCTTTGGCAAGTTTGGTAGGGTGCAGAAGGTCATAGTTAATCAAACTACATCATATGCTGGACCACAGGGGCCATCAGCTACTGCATATGTCACTTATTTGAAAAGCATTGATGCACTGCGAGCTATTAAATTAACTAATAATATTTTAATTGATGGTAGACGATTAAAAGCAAGACTAGGTTTCACTAAATACTGCAGCCAATTTATAAAAAACATAGCTTGCAGAAAACAAGGCTGCATTTATCTTCATAAGCTAGATACCGAAGCCAGTTTCACAAAAGAAGATATACACCAAGGAAGGCATCAAGAGTATGAAAGAAAATTGTATGCGCTATCATTAGAAAAATCGTGTAATAAATCTGATCGCTGCGCATCTGCAGTAGTCAGTAATGATTCGGATTTTTACCAAACACAGTTAGTCTCTGATAACGTCTTCGTAGTGCCGCCACCTTTAGTATCTTCGCAGAGTAAAGAAGTATGGCCCAGCTCGAATACAAATATTAGTTGTAAGTTAGGAAAGTTTCAGAATGGGAAAAAACAGCTGACACAATGCAATTCTTCAAAGACCAATAATTCTGAACTTTCTGAACAATTTTCTTTTAATAATTCTTTACAGAGTGGAAGCAGTGGAGATAGAACTCCTGAATCTTGCCGTCACAGTAACGATTATAAATCTTTTCCCAGCTTAACATTCCAAAAAATTGATACATGGGTTAGAAATGAAAGACTATATAAAGAAGAGCTTAGCCAGAAGGTAGAAAGCGGTAATTTTTCGGACCACTCCGAAATATCCAATATTGAAGATAAGCTCCATTGCTCTACACCATTATGTGATGAATATTTAAATACTGATAGGCATGACACTAATTCTGTACAAAACAAATGCTTGAATGATGATTCCTTGTGTGAAAAGTCATCATTAACATATAACAATTCCATAAACATTGCAGTAAAAGATTTAAATCATACTTCAGTATCTCATGATAGTATTATATATACAAAATGTACGATGAGCACTAATTCAAATTTTATTGAGTGTTCAGACAATACAATCGACTCTTCAAATGACTACTGGCAGTCAGAATTGAAATTTTTAAATCCAATGAACCAAAGATTACACAAATTGAACTCGTCAAGAATCGTTGATTCCAAATTGTTGATTAGAAATGAGGTAAGATTAAATAAACAGCATAATATTCCATCTGATGTAGGAGACCATCCTTCATTAGACGAGAAGTTATACAAGTCAAAACCAATTACCAACGATGTATCCCGTTTTTTAATGGATTGTTTAACGGAAAAAAATCTGGAAAATACTAATGCACAAGAGTTATTTATTGTAAAAAATGGTTGTGGTGAACCTTCTGATCTTAATTTTAATCGCTTCTCATCATCAGATGATGATTTAGGTTTTGATCCATTTGAAGAGACCCAGAAAGCATTTGCATCGATGGATTTGGAAGAGGTTCTTAAACAAAGCGCTAAAGCAGATGGACCTTCTTCGTCACAACAGCAACTGTATATAAACTGTAGTATAAATATGTCAACTGATTGGGCAAAGTTAGACCCAGCCATAGTGAGTTCTTCTTGGACGCCTGGGCATAACTTTGAGAATAGATATATGAGCCAACTTCGAACACATACGCATGATTTAAACTCAATTAACTGTTTAAATGTTGCCCACCCATCAAATGATCAGGTTATCCAATTTGGTTATAAGAAAAATCCTGCTAGGGAGCCGCCTCAGTATTTAAATACGAGTTCTTATGATAAAAATACTGATTTGCGTAATACAGATCTTAATAATAATAATAAAACTAGGGTTCTGCCTATTCCGACGCAAAGTGAGTGGGACGAGTCAGAGCGGGCATATTACGCCACTGCACCATGGAATCGTAATAGAAATAACTTTAAGATATGGGAACCCCTAATATCTCAGAAGAGCACAGCTGATGGAACCAATGGCAGTGAAGTCCATATTGAATAATTTTAATGTAGCTGATATAATTTATGATATTAGTTTTGTTTATATAATTGAAAAAAAGATAGTTAAGAAATATATTCGTGTTTATACATATATTGAATTGAGACATATTCTTGAAATGTTAATTTGCATCCAAATCGTCAAAGTAAAAGAACAATAAATAATAATCTATTTATTTAGTACGTTTCGGTACTATACTATGTTAAACGGTATGTGTGTCATCATTCAGCAATTTTATTTTAAACAATATCACACCAGCAAAAAAACTTACAAATATATATGTATATATATAATATTCAACGTCGTATATATATATATATATATATATATATATATATATATATAAATATATATATATATATATATATATATATATATATTATAGCTTAGAACAAAGAATCCAAAAAGTATTAAAAAACAATAAAGTTTTTTTAATAAACTACCTTGATAAGATTTAAGCAAACAATATGATTAAGAAAAGAAGATGGATTTTTTAATTAATAAAATTGTTAAAAAAATAATGTACAGAAATATGATAATATCATCAAAATGAAAATGAACAGAATATTAAAAATGTTTAAAAATTAGACAGCTTTGGAAAGTTTTGAGAAAAAGTTACTGAAAAAATTAAATTAATTACCTGTATGTTTAAATATACACTAACACTTCTTCACTAAAAAGATTTTATCAAAAAATTAATTTATAAGTTTCTTTTCTTTTTTTCGAATTTTGTAAATCAAAATTTCTATGAATTATGTATTTTTTAAGTTCTTCGTTATTTGAGACTCAAACAATTGAAATTGAATTATAAAAATTCATGAAAGTTTGGAATGATAGTCCGCGCTTTTAGGACACAATCTGAAAAGAACGATCCTTTAAAAAATTATAAAAAAAATCAAAACTTTTTAAGACATAACCAGAAATTTTATTTTAGTATTAGCGTTTATTTGCATGACTGTAGATTTAGAAAATATACCCAGTTTCAAAAAATTTAATGTTTCTTCGAAAGTGCTGGGTTATTTACAGCAATATCTATATTTTATAAATATCTAATTTTGATACAGATGTTTTCAAAATTTATTCATTCATACTAATGAACAATATCATATGTCTACATCGTAACAAAATTTATTGAAGTGGTATTTTTATGGAAATATGTATATGCATGTATATACAAATATAATATTTGTAATATTTTAATGATGTTGGGTGATAACTAAAGTCATACGATATGCAATTCAATTAAAAACATAAATAATATATTTAATTAGATAAAGGTATATTGACACAGAATAGATTATTTGATTTATATTCTACATTTTCAGATATCTTTTGAAATGATAGTTAAAAATTTAAGAGCATCCGATGTCAAAACTATTGATGCTCTATAATGTGTTTGTTATTTAGCAGAACATGAATGACTTGTACCCAGACATCATTTGACCAAACTATCATACTACAATAAAATATATCTGTTAATTTGGTGCGAAATAAAAAAATTAAAGTGTCGTAAATAATTATGTAAATATTTCTTGAAATATGAACCCATTGGAATGGCATTGAAAATTATTAATGTAAAAATAATTTTCAAAATTTTACCTTATTTTATTTTTTGGTTATAGTATCATTGTTAATTAAATTTGAA